CCTCTTTCTCTCCTCTTTCTTCCTCTCCTTTACTTACTTTTTTTTCTTTCCTTCTCTCAAAACAAAAAGAAATCAACTTGTAAACCGCTAGATCCAGGTTGGCAATGTCTCTTTCATTGCTTGATTTCCTTTCTTCCCTTCCCTACCTCCCTCCCTCCCTCCCCGCTTCCTCCCTTCCTTCCTTCCTTCATCCCTTCCTTCCTCCCTACCGTCCTTCTCCCTTCCTTCCTGCCTTCCTCCCCCCACCAAAAAAAAAAAAAAAAAAAAAAAGATTACAAGATGATGTTATGTACAAGTTTATGCTCATATATTTCAAAATTTTGATGAAATGGACAAATTTTTACGTATCTAAACAGTGAAAAGCATCTTAATTCTATGACTGTTAATGAAATTGAATTCATAACAGGTAATGAAAGTAAATCTTTAAAAACCTTTTCACAAAGAAAATTTCAGCCCCAGGGAGTAGGGAGGGATTACTTAAATAGTACACCTAAATATTACTTAAATGTACCATAAGCAAAATGAACAAATTGTAATGTGTTAGGAATGAGAACTTCTGTTCATTCCAAGACATCCTTGAAAGAGTGAAAAGGCAAGCCACAGACTGAAAAGATATTTGGTATACATCTGATAAGGGAATCATGTCTAGAATATATAAAGAATTTCTACCAGTTGATTTCAAAATCCAGTATAAAAAAGGAGCAAAAGATTAGAACAGATGTTTCACAAAGAGGATACCCAGATAGTTAATAAACCTGAAAAAGCTCTCAACTGCATTAATCATCAAGGACATGCAAATTAAAACTGCAGTAAAATACTAACATATAGTTATTAGAATGGCTAAAATGTGAAAGACATCTTCAAGTGTTGGTGAGGATGTAGAACAACAAACTCATATACAGCTAGTGGAGTAGAAATTGGTACTGCTGCTTAGGAAAATTGTTTTGATATATTTTAAAATTGAATGAGTTAATAATGCTCTGTGTGTTTTTTTAAGATGGAGTCTTGGTCTTTTCCCAGGCTGGAGTGCAGTGGTGCAGTCCTGACTCACTGCAAACTACCACCTCCCAGGTTCAAGTGATTCTCCTGCCTCAGCCCCCAGTAGCTGGGATTATAGGTGCATGCCACCACACACAGCTAATTTTTGTATTTTTAGTAGAGACAGGGTTTCACCATGTTGAACAGGCTGGTGTCGAACTCCTGACCTCAGGCCTGCCTTGGCCTCCCAAAGTGCTAGGATTACAGGCTTGAGCCACCACACCCAGCTGATTAATACTCTTCGACCCAACACGTTTACTTTCGATATATATCTGACCAAAATACGTTCAGAAGAATGGCCACTGAGTTGTTATTTGCAGTAGCCCAAAACTCGAGACAACCCAAATAGCCGTTTATATTAGAATGGATTAACAAATTGTTTATTCATACAAAGGGATGCTATACAATGAAAAAGTACGAATTACTGCTATATACAACAACATAAAATCTCACAAACATGATGTTGACTGAAAGAAGTCAGATAGTAATATATATTCTTTGATTCTATTTATATCTAGATAAACCAGAAAAAACTAATCCTTCATTAGAGGTCAGGATAGTAGCTACTTGAAGGATGGAGGGTGTAGTGACAGGGTACATAAAGCAATTTCTGATAGTTTTTATCTAGGTTTTGGTTACATGGGTATGTTCATTTGGATAATTCAGTTGAAACTATATGCCTACTATATTTGTTACTGTTTATGTACCTTTAAGTGGATATCATATGTCAAGAAAGTTAGGAAAAAAAAAAAAAAACCTGTGTGGCTTACTGGAGAGAAGGTGGGGAATGGTAGACCATAAAATCAGGGGGGTAGAAAGGGACCAGATCATCAGCCATGTTAATATTTCAGTGTGATGGGAAGTCACTGGAGACTTTTGGGCAGGAGAATCACATGATATGTTTTACATTTTTAATAAGCATGCTTTGGTATGGAGATGATAGATTGTGGCAAGAATAGAAGCAAGAGACAACAGCCCAGGGAAGAGTGGATAAAGGCTTCACATAGGGTTGGAATGGTGTAGATGGTGAAAAGTGGCCCAGTCCAGGTTATATTTTGAAATTAGAGCTGTCAGAATAGTTCATAAATTACATTGTCGGGTAGGAAGGAAAGATGGTTAACGCTGAGATGTTTGGCCTGAGCAGCTGGCTGAATTGTGGTGCTGTTTACTGAGGTGAAGACAGAGAGAGGAGCATACTTAAAGAGAAATCAAGAGGTTTACTTTTGATGTGTGAAGATTGAGATACTTATTAGACATTCAAAATGAGATGTTAAATAGCTGAGTAGAGAAATTAGGGATGGGGAAATAATTTATTGGTGTTTTAGGTGGTGCTTAAAATCCTAGGGCTGGAAGAGATCTCCTAGGGAATGAATGTAGACAGGGCAGAATACATTGAAGTAGAGTGAAGTGGAATGAAAGGATGGCATCTAATTATTGTGACACATCAACACTTTGATATCAGGGAGAAGTGAAAGAGCAACTAATTAATTAGATTGTAAAACAGGAATGTATGGTGTCTCAAAGCCCAGTAAAGCTTTTCATAAAGTAGGAATGAGCAACTCTATCAGATATTACTGAGATAGTTAGTTAGTATTCAGTTAGGTGAAAAATGGGATTTGACTACTGAGTTTGATAGGTTTTGGGGAGAGTATTTGAGGAGAGCAGGAATTGGAATAAAGTATTACATTTGGAGAATGTATCTGTAAAAAATTAGCTAATACAATAAAACTTGAAGACTCTGGAGACTTTTTAGTTTAGCAAAGGAGTATCAGCTAAGATTAAGGGTCAAATAAAATGGAAGACAAAATTTCAGACATTAAGAGGTACTTCTTACAAGTAACCTATAATACATTCTTTGATGCAGGATAGAAAAATTAGTTACGAATCTGCCGTCAGGGTTTTACACCTCATTCGACATGGTTCGGCATATTCCTAGTATCTTCAAGGGAAGTGACTTGATTATTTCCAGACTTCATCTTTATGGAAAGGCTTTAAAATTGGCTCTTATATTATACTTATGTCAGTGGTCTCTTATTCTGTTTTTCATTAATAACTTTTTACTCAAAATTTGACGTCTTTTCTTTCATTCACTATTAACAGCCAATGCTGAAACAAAATATACTATGTAACATAAGATAAAGAATGGAATCAGTGAATCAGTTACCATGTATGGATCTGTAGCGTCTATGTGAAGTAATATGAGCTTCTAAGTTTCTTTTTCCATAGAGTTCAGGAGGTAGAGAGGGCCCTCTGTAGAGAATTTGGTCTGTTTGATTGTTCTTTCGTAAAGGAATGAGGATTCCAGAAGATGTGATGGGAATGGCTAGCTAGTCAGGGACAGCAGTGTTAGGAGGTTGTGTTGGGAGGGAAAGCACAGAACAGTATTGCAGTGAATATATACTGGGGGTGAAAGGCTTATGTTGTGTGATGCTGATGACAGGATCTAGGTCTGGTCCTAACTAAAAATGTGGTGAAGAGACTTCAGTTGGAAAGAACAGAGACTCCCTAAAATAGATCCACAATAGAGAATGGGGCAGTTATTAGACAACTTCAGGGAACAAATGGGAGTCCAAAGACAAAAGCCTCAGCATAGCTTATCTTCCTGAAAATTGGGCTGCAGGTGTGGGCTTCAGGCAAATTCGTGTGTTTATATTTCTATCTCTGAATCTTTTTATGTATTTGTTTTGTCTTCCGTCTTGTACAGACCGCAGCATTCTCAGGGTTTTTTTTTTCTCTACTGCATATCATTTCAGCTTTTATTTGGCTATCATGCCATCTTTAGCTCCAATGTCGGTTGACCTTTAAGCTTCACTGCCTGTCATTGACTGACAGTCGTGCACTGTATTTTAGTTTAAGTACCTAAGAGTAAGGAACCTTGTCTAATTCACCCCTGTGCCTTTACTTCCCAGGCCTCTGAATTCTGGTTAATCTCCATTGGCTGCCCTTGGGTTCGTTGCCTATCCCTAGTTCAGCCCCTGCTGGGGAAAAGAAAAAAAGTCTCTAGGCAGAGCAGATTCCCTTAGAGAAAAAACTGATTGAGCAGGCAGTCGCCTTCTCTAGTATGTCTTCCTTACTTTAGAAGTTTTATGATTGGCTGGATGAGATGGCTCACGCCTGTAATCCCGACACTTTATGAGGCCGAGGTGCCCACGTTGGGCAGATCACCGGAGGTCAGGAGTTCGAGACCAGCCTGGCCGACATGGTGAAACCTATCTCTACTAAAAATACAAAAATTAGCCGGGCACGGTGGTGGTGGGTGCCTGTAATCCCAACTACTCAAGAGGCTGAGGCAGGAGAATTGCTTGAACCTAGGAGGTGGAGGTTGCTGTGAGCCGAGATTGCACCACTGTACTCCAGCCTGGGTGACAGAGTGAGACTCCATTTCCAAAAATAAGTTTTATGATTAACTGAAATTGTAAAAGCTTAAAATTTTGGAGGAATGGTGCAAAGCTTGCATGGCTAGTGGAATGAGTGCAGGAAGAGTGATGGGAGATAAAGGCAAAGAAGTAGTCTAGGCCAGGTGATGTAGAGCCTTGCAGGCCATGGAATAGAGTGTGAATTTTATATATGTATAGTTGTATATATTCTTAAATATATATCAGATAAATATACACATTTGTTCAAATGTAAGAAATATATAGGGAAAAAATCTGTAGGTTACTTACTGAATTGCTAATAGCTATGTGTCTCTCTGGAGAAAGAGAATGACCGGACTAGGATGGGGGTGTGGTCAGACTTTACCTTTGTGTGTAGATGTTTAATAAAGGGGAATATAGTCATGTGATGTTTGTGGAATTCAAAGTTAATTGAAGGTAATGGGGACAGCCTATCTCCTGAAGCAGGTTCCTGTGGAGTATAAAGGTCGTTTACTTGCTTTGTAATATTGGTGAGTGTGTGAATTTGTTTTTTAACAATATGTTTAATCCCCCACCCCACCTTTTTTGCCTTTTTTTTTTCCCTAGGGAGTTGGTATTTCAGTCCATGGGCAATTTCGAGTGGCTACAGAAAAGTGTCTTTTTGCCATGCCAGAAACAGCAATAGGTAAACAACCAATTTTTTAAAAATTACTTTTAGCATCATCTTTTTTTGATACATTTCAGAGTTTACTGTGGTTGAAGGAATTGATGGAATCTTGTGTGAGATACTATAGTGAAAAGATTTTTTAAAAATTAAATAGATACTTAGAAGTCTCTATTAGCTCAATTGTATCTGAAAACACAAAACAGAATATTAAAGGAGACATTAACACAGTATAAATAAAAGATAAACACTGTAGGTAAAAGATCATTAAGGGAATATGTTTTTGCCTTTAGATCTATGCAGTTTTGAGTTGTGATCAAAACTATCATGACAGTTTTCAGTTCATTTTTGTATATGGTGAGGGGTATGGATCATAAATATAAGTCAAAGTTTATTTTGTATATGAAAATACTATCACTCCAGTACCTAACTGTTGAAAGGGTATTGTTTTGCCACTGAATTGCCTGTGTAGCTTTGTTATAGTTGTCTATAAATGTTGATCATGGTGCCAACACCATGTTGTCTTGGTTACTGTTGCTAAATTTATAGTAAGTCTTAAAATCAGGTTGTGATAATGTTCCACCTTTGTTTTTTGTATCCCACCAAGTTGCTTTGGCTATATAGGTTCTTTATATTTCCACATGTATTTTAGAGTCACTTGTCAATTTCAACAAAAAAGCCTGCAGATGGAGTTAGGGAGAATTGACATCTTAACACTATCTAGTCTTTTTAGACCTGTGAGTAAGGTATATTTCTCCATTTGTATAAGTGGTCTTTAATTTCTCTCAGCATGGATTTTTAGTTTTCATTTTATAGGTCTTTTGTCAGATTTATTTATAAAAGTATTTCATATTGATGATGGTTTTGAAAAAACTTTCAGTTCTAATTGTTAATTACTAGGCTATAGAAATACCGTTGATTTTTTAAAATTTACGTTTTTCATGCAGGCTTACTAAACTCACTTATTAGTATTAGTTGCTTTAGAATAGAATTTGATTCTACTCTACTGGAATTCCTAAAGAGACAATTATGTCATATACAAGTAAGATCAGTTAGACTTTTTCCTTTCTAATCTGGATACCTTTTATTTCTTTCTCTCGCTCTGTTGCATAGAATAGAACTTCCAATACAATGTTGGATAGAAGTGGTGAGAGTGAACACTGGAATTCCTAAAGAGACAATTATGTCATTTACAAGTAAGATCAGTTAGACTTTTTCCTTTCTAATCTGGATACCTTTTCTTTCTTTCTCTTGCTCTATTGCATAGAATAGAACTTTCAATACAGTGTTGGATAGAAGTGGTGAGAGAGAACATTTTTTCCTTGTTTCTGATTTTAGGGGAAAGCATTTAGTCTTTTACCAATTAATTTTGATGTTAAGGGATATATTTTTCATTTAAGATCAGGAACAAGACAGTGATGCCCACTCTTATCATGTCTGTTTAATACTGTATTGAAAGTTCTTGTCAGATCAGTTAGGCAAGAGAAAGAAATAAAAGGCATCCAAACAGGAAAAGCAGAGGTAAAACTGTCACTGCTGATGACATACTGTCTTGTTCCTGATCTTAAAGGAAAAATATATCCCTTAACATCAAAATATACATATGTGTGTGTGTATATATATATATATATATATAGAGAGAGAGAGAGAGAGAGAGAGAGAGAAAACTCTAACAGCCCCAGCAAAAACTGTTTGAACAAATAAATACAGTAAAGCTGTAGGATATAAAGCCAACACATAAAAACAATAGCATTTCTATACACTAACAATAAACTATTTGAAAAATAAACAATTTCATTTACAAAAGTATCAAAAAGGGTAAAATACTTAGAAATAAATTTAACCAAGGAGGTAAAATCTGTATGGCAAAACCCTATCTCTACAAAAATAACAAAATGTAGCTGGGTGTGGTGGTGTGTACCTTTGGTCCCAGCTACTCAGGAGGCAGAGGTTAGAGGATGGCTTGAGCCTGGGAAGCAGAAGCTGCACTGAGCTGAGATCATACCACTGTACTCGAGCCTGAGCAATACAGCCAGACCATGTCACTAAAAAAAAAAAAAAAAAAAAAATAGAAATTTGTAGATTTCTGAGAAAACAATTAGAGTGAAGAGGCAACCCATTTCAGTCTCTGCTCATTACCTAGTTCTCAAGTCAGTTCTACATTTTCAGGTGTCTTGATAGCAATGACCTACTTCTCTGGTACCAATTTTCTGTATTAGTCCTTACATTGCTATAAAGAACTACCTGAGACTGGGTAATTTATTTAAAAAAGAGGTTTAATTGGCTCACAGCTCCACAGGCTGTACAGGAAGCATGACTAGGGAGGCCTCAGGAAACTTACACTCATGGGGGAAGATGAAGGGGAAGCAAGTGTATCTTCATATGGCCAGTGGGAGACAGAAGTGGGATGTGCTATGCACTTTAAAACAACCAGATGAGAACAAGGGGGAAATTTGTCCCTCTGACCCAGTCACCCCCCACACCAGGCCCCTTATCCAACACTGGGGATTACAATTCAACATGAGATTTGAGTGGGGACACAGAGCCAAACCGTATCAGGGCCTTTCAAGGAATTTGTTAATTTGTTAATTTTTTGTATGTATCTACTGAAGTTCACATGTTGGAAACTTAATTCCCAATTCAGTGTTGTGAGTTGGAACCTGTAATAGGTGAGTGGGTTATGAGGGCTCTGCCCTCATGAATGGATCAATGCCATTATCTTGGGAATGGGTTAGTTATTGCAGGTTGGTTCCTGATACAGGGATGCCTTCAGCCCCCTTTCCTCTTGCTCTGTTATCCTGTCTCACTCTTGCCATGGGTTGATGCAGCAAGAATGCCCTCATGTGATGTTGGCACCTTAATATTGGACTTCTGAGCCTCCAGAACTGTGAAAAATAATTTCTTTTTCTAAATTACTCCAGTTTGTGGTATTCTGTCATAACAACACAAAGTGGACTAAGACAATTATATTCCCTTATTATCTTTTTAGTATCTGTAGACTCTGTAGTGATTTCTGGCTCTCTTATTCTTGATATTGATCATTGTGTCTTCTCTTTTTTTCCCTGAACAATCTAGTTAGAGGTTTATTCTATTGATCTTAAAAAAACAGATTTTTGTTTTCATTTATTTTCTGTTTTGCTGATTTCTGCTCCAGTATTTATTCCTCCTTTTTTCTGCTTATTTTAGATTTTGTTTGCTCTTCTTTGTCTAATTTCCTCAGGTGAAACCTGAGCTGACTTGGGTATGGAATTTGACTCTACTCTGTTTTTTAATTTCAGTAATTTAAAGATGTTACTACACTATCTTCTCATTTATGTTGTTTCCTGTGAAATGTGTCCTCTCATCCTGATTTTTGTTCCTCTGTGTCTTTTTATTTTCTCTGGCTGCTCTTAAGATTTTCTCTTGATCACATGTTTCAAGCCATTTGATTATGATGTGCTTTGGTGGTCTTCATATTTCTAATGCTTGTGGTGGTTGAGCTATTTAGGTTTATAATTTCTATCAAATTTGGAAAAATTTTTGCCATTATTTCTACAAATATTTTTCTTTCATCCATTCCATTTTCAGGAATTCTAGTTATATTTCTATAAGGCTCACTTACGTTTCATTTATTTAAATTTTTTTCTCTGTCTTTCATTTTAGATAGTTTCTGTTCCTCTGTCTTTATTAATCTTTTCTTCTACAAGATCTAATCTGCCCTTAATCTCATCCATGTATCTTTCAGCTTATACATTCATTCCAGTTTTCATCTCTGGAAGTATGATTTGGTTCTTCTTTTAAAAAGGGAAATCTTTGTCTTGATTTAACTTGTTGAACACATAGGTTATGTTTATGGTAACTGTTAATGTTTTCATCTGCTAGTTCTTACATTTATGTTCTTTTTTAAAATCACCTCATTATGGTTACTATTTTCCTGCATCTCTAGATAGCTGATAATTTATTATTGAATTTTACATATTGTAAACTTTACTTTATTGGGTACTAGATATTTTTGTGTTCTTTTAAATATTTTTGAGATTTATTCTGATATTAATTTAAATTCCTGGGAAACATCTTAATATTTTCAAGCATTATAAGATTATTTATTTTCTTACAGGATTGGAGCAGCACTATAACTGGGGCTAATTATTTCCCACTACTGGGGCAAGATCTGACTTTGTATTCTGCGCAGTGCCACATGACATCAATCATGAGTTTTTCTAGTCCAGTTGGTGGGGAACATGACGTTTTCAGTCCTGTGTGGGTTCCCAGTACTGTTCTCTATAATCATTTTCTGTGGTTCTTTCCTTAATCTCATGTAGTGATACAATTAGGCATTGTGTTCTCACCCAAATCTCGTCTTGAATTATAATCCCCATGTGTCCAGGGAGAGATCTGGTAGGAAGTGATTGGTTCATGGGCAGTTTCTCCCATGCTGTTCTCATGATAGTGAGTTCTTATGAGATCTGATGGCTTTATAAGGGGCTCTTCCCACTTTGCTCCTCCCGCTTTTCTCTCTTGCTGCCTTGTGAGAAGGTCCAAGCTTGCTTTGCCTTCTGCCATGATATTAAGTTTCCTGAGGCCTCCTAAGCCATGTGAAACTGTGAGTCAATTAAACCTCTCTCCTGTATAAATTACCCAGCCTCTGTCAGTGTGAAAACTTGACTAATCATGTAGTTTCTTTACATACACACGCATACACACACACACACACACACACACACATTGTCCATTCCTAAGCTAAGTACTTAAAAGAGACAACTTGCAGATCTCCAGAGCTTTCTCTGCAGCTCTATCTGCTCTGGTACTCTGTTCTGGGAATTCTAGCTGTCTTGGTTTTCCTGGACCCTTAGCTTCATCTTCTCAAATGAGGGGCTGTGCTGGGTATGAAGCTGGAGCTATTCTAGGGTTTACCTTGCTTGTTTTCTGATACTCAGAGACCACTTTTCTTTATTCCTTGATGTTCAGTGTGTTGAAAACACGATTGATCCATATATTGTGTCTGTTTTTATAGTTGTTTCATATAGGGGGACAGGTCTGGTTCCTGTTATACTATTTAATCCAACGTGTAAGTCTCCCAGATGGCTACTTTAAATTGGATGATGAAAGATGCTCTCAGTGGGGTTGTCCTTTAAGCTGAGATTTGAATGACAAGGAAGTGTCAGCTACATTAAGAACTGAGAGCAGAATACTGTGGCATTGAGAAAAGTTAGTTCAAGACCCTTAGATAAGAAGGAACTTGGGCTGTTCAAGGAACCAAATGGAGGCATCTGTGTCTGGATTAAGGGCAGGAGTGATGTAACATGTTCTTGAAAGGGTACATGGGGGCCTCTGGTGAAGAGTTAAGATTTAAACCTAAATATGGGAAGTTGTGAAAGAGTGTAAAGCGGAAATGGCATTAAGTATAGTTTGTATTTATATTTTAATAGCATGATTCTGGCTGCTTTGAGGATAATGGATTGTAGGGGTAGCAGAGTAGAAGCAGTGAGATTGCATAAGAGGTTATTACATTACTTGGTGGCTTAAACAGCAAAAAAATTTTTTTCTCACTGTTCGGAAGACTGAAAGGCTGAGATCAAGGTGTCAGCAGATGGTTCTCTTGAGCCCTCTGATGGCTGCCTTCTTGCTCTGTCCTCATATGGCCGTTTCTCTGTTCATATGCATCCCTGGTGTCCCTTCCTTCTCTTTTTTTTTTTTTTTGAGATGGAATTTCGCTCTTGTTACCCAGGCTGGAGTGCAATGGCGCGATCTCGGCTCACCGCAGCCTCCGCCTCCTGGGTTCAGGCAACTCTCCTGCCTCAGCCTCCTGAGTAGCTGGGATTCCAGGCATGTGCAACCATGCCCAGCTAATTTTTTGTATTTTTAATACAGTTGGGGTTTCACCATGTTGACCAGGATGGTCTCGATCACTTGACCTCATGATCCACCCACCTCGGCCTCCCAAAGTGCTGGGATTACAGGCTTTATAAGGATACCAATCCTGTTGGATTAAGACCCTACCCTTATGACCTCACTTAATGTTAATTACCTCTTCAAACACCGTGTCCAAATACAGTTACGTCAAGAGTTAGGGCTTCAACATAGGACTTTTTGGAAGGACACAATGCAGTCTATAGCAGGAAGTAATCAGCATATAGATGCTATCTAAAGTCATAGGCCTTAAGGAAAATCTGTATGTAGGAAAGAGGAGGTAGCCTAATATGGAGCTTAGGCACAGTGAGAAAGAGGTCAAGCAGAGGAGGTGCTGTCAGCAAGGGAGACTGGAAAGCAGAATTTGGGAAAGGGGGAAAAAGAGAGAGAATGTGGCACTCTGGAAGAAAAGAATGTGTTGTCTGGATGGAGGGTTTTTTCCACTTGGGCAGCATGCTTCTGAGACTCTGGAGCAGGAAGGAGTGTAGAGTGCTGGGGAACTAAAAGAAGACCAGAATGGCTGGAGTATAGAAAGTGAGTAGTAAGGGATGTAGCGGAAAAAGTGGTCAGAGGCCTTGAAGACTTTGATAAAGGTGTTTGTTTTAATCCAGGAGAAATGGGCAGCCATGGGAGGGTTTTAAGCAGTAGAATGCAAGACTCTGGTATGGATTTGTGTCTTAAAAAGATCAATTTGGCTATTGTGTGGAGAAGGTTTAGAGGGGAAATCAACGGATGTGGTTACTGATAGGGATTAAGGGGCTGGTACGAGATGGTGTCGAGACGGAATGGTTGCACCCTTTACTAAGGTGGGTGATGCTGGAGGAAGATTGTGGAATGGCACGGGGAGGTTATGAGTTTACTTGAGACCTAGCTAGTTTGAAGTACTAAGAGAGATTTTAGTTTACGGGAGCCTGCTACTTTTTCTTTTAAGTCTAGAACCTTTTTGTAAAGTAGAACTGGAGAGAATTTCAGTGCTTGTGTTTTTATCCCAACATAATTAAATGAAACTTTAGAACAGATACAGATACATAAATTATAAAATTAGAGGGTCACTGTTTTTTAAGATCTTAAACACCCAAAGGAGTATGCTGGTAATTACTTGTATATATGCTATTTTCAGTTGTTACCAGTAAAGAGAGAATTTTTAAATACTGATGGTTAAGGAAAGGCTAAATTCAAATGATTTTATTAGGTATAAAATTTTTCATTTAGTGGGACTCATGGTTATTGCATCAATAGTTAAACATCTTGAATATTAGATAATTGACTACGATTTAAATGGTAATAATTTTTCTATAATAGACATAGGTTATGTATTTTCTTCCTGTGCTCATTTGGAAATAAAGTTTTTGAAGGTTTTACCTATTTTGGAGATTCTTCAAAAGTAAATCAGCAGTAAGAAAATTTAGGTAGCATTGGCCAGGCGCAGTGGTTCATGCCTGTAATCCTAGCACTTTGGGAGGCTGAGGCTGGAGGATCATGAGGTCAGGAGATCGAGACCATCCTGGCCCACAGTGAAACCCTGTCTCTATTAAAATACAAAAAATTAGCCAGTGTGGTGGTATGTGCCTGCAGTCCCAGCACCCAGAGGCTGAGGCAGGGGAATTGCTTGAACTTGGGAGGCAGAGGTTGCGGTGAGCCAAGATCACACCACTGCACTCCAGCCTGGGAACAGAGTGACACTTCGTCTCAAAAAAGAAAAAGAAAAAAGAAAACTTAGGTAGCATTATTGGATACTTCTAATGTACAAAACATTGTGTCATCAAATACTTTACTGTATTCTATAGAAATAAGACATGAAAGTTTTGAAAAATACCCGTTAAGTTAGCACAGTTTATAGAAAGTCCTTTGTGATATTGATTGCTCTGCATAGTACTTTGTTTAATAATATTTGTACTGTAGATTCAGGCTCCAGAGAGAAATGATTGTGTGATCTGCAGCAAAGAGGTTATATTTGTCTTTTGCATTTGAATCACCATTATCTCTTTTTGTTACATTTAATTACAGGACTGTTCCCTGATGTGGGTGGAGGTTATTTCTTGCCACGACTTCAAGGAAAACTTGGTTACTTCCTGGCATTAACAGGATTCAGACTAAAAGGAAGAGATGTGTACAGAGCAGGAATTGCTACACACTTTGTAGACTCTGAAAAGGTACTTTTTTTTTTGGATGTTTGCATTTTATAATGTTGGAATAACAACACAAAATAGTGTGTGGGAAAGTACAATGGGTAGTTGAGATCCACAGACTTTTGGTGGAATCCTGGTGTGAGTTCTGGACCTATTAGCTAATAGCTGTGTTACCTTGGAAAAAATGCATAAGCACTCTAATTCTGTCTCCTCATATGCAAACTGGAGATAATGATACCTGGATTCAGGGCTGGCACCTTCAGTGAGTGTTTTTAAATGAACAATTAGAGTCTGTTAAAAAAAAAAAAAAAAGTCATGCCTACCTTAAGAAAGTCTAATATGTACAAATTAAAGTTATATATAAAAAGATAGGTTTTTATTTTATGAGGACATTTTGAAGGCTTCTTTTGGTTATGAATTTCCCTAGTACATTGAAAATAATTGCATTTGACTTTTTAAAAACATCTCTGTTACAAGGAACACATGTTATCTTTGCTTTTTTTTTTTTTTTTTTTTTAAACAGTATGGTCAATTTTCTCAGCACAGGATAATGTAGTGGCAAAGAGTATATAGATAGTCTGAGTTTAAATCTTAACTGGAATTTAGCCTCTTTTGCCCCCACCCCGCTTCCCCATCTGCAGAATGAAGATGACACTATTAGAATAATAGTTGAAACTCCTTGTGTTACATATGACAGAAGACCCAATTCAAGGTAGTTTTGCCCCAGATTACCCAGCAAGAGATTTAGGATATATTTTGCTTCACCTGGCTTAGTTCATTTTGACTAGACTGGCTTATCTCATTCTTGAACCATATGGGTAGGTAGAATGTACCAACTGGCTTATCTAAGTAATGCACGCTCTATTCTTGGATCTGTGGGGTAAAGTCAGCTTCCTAGGAAGCACATGGTCATCAGATAAATATCTGGTCTTAAGGGAAGGATGTTTTTATATAGAGGAAGGAAAGCTATAAAAATTAATTTAGAAAATATTATGTTACATGCTTAGCCCAGTAACTGACATATAGTAAACACTCAAAAATCTTATCATTATTAATATTTTTAATGCAGTTTTATATTTTTAGAGGTGTCCAGATTTTTCATTGAGAGTCTGTTTTATATTACAGAGGATGGTCCGTTTTATCCTCGTATCTATAACTTTCTTCTGTTTTGGATAATGATACCAGAGACTATATTGACAGTTGGCCTAGAATGTGAGTCCCCCCAAGGACCTTTTACAAATGATGATGATTTAGTCTCACACATCCTCTGGCCATTGAAGTAGAACAGCTGGATAGCATTAAAATGTACTATTTGGTCACTAATAGAATTCTCTTCACAAACTTTATAAATTGGTTGTGGAAATTTTTATGTTGATGAACTTTGGGCTCATTTCTTACACTGTTACAGATTGTGTAAAATGTATGAAGTATGCAAAATTGAAGGTTGTTTCTGTACACTGTTATGAGGGTTTTCTGTCACATTTGGCTGAAGATTCAGACCTTTCTCTGTGTTGCGGGCATCCTCAGTCACATTGAGCAGACAGCTGTTTCATGCTTCCCTTGAGCTATAACAGGAAGCAAACATGGGCATGCGATTATCCTGTCTGGAAGGGACACCCTTGATTACAGTGGAATTTAGTTTAGTATAAGAGAGAGACCTGATGCATAACCTGTTTCTTTCTTTGTCAGTGTGTTCAGTACTAATATCTGCAGTGAGTAGATGCATTCTCAGGGCCTGTAGAGGATACGAAAAGGAGGACTATACTTTGGGGGTGGGATTAGAAGTGGGTACAAAAGATAAATAACCATTTTTCTCATCTGGCAGAGGTGTAAAGTGTGGTAAGGGTAAAAATATTACAAAGAAAATACTCAAAGAATTCAAAGGAGGAAGAGCTTACCTGTAAGAAAGGACTAGAAGCTTTTTCATAAAGGTTGCAATACAGCTGGCCTTAAGGTGAGTTTATCAGGAAAAGGTATTGTCAGGTAAAGGAAACATTTAATGTAACCACAGGGGCAAGAAACCATTAGCTATATTTTGGGAACAGTAAAAAGTCTTATTTGGCTCAAGGTAGGATACATTAAGTGAGGGATTAGATGGAGAAACAAGTGAAGCTATATTACAGTGCAGTGCATTGACTATGGTAGCCACTAATCATTTGCGGCAATTTTTGTTAAAATTAATTAAAAATATAATTTATAATGTAGGTCTTTGGTTGCAAGTGCTCAATAGACTGAGAGAAACAAAGATGTTTCTGTATCTTCTCCTAAATTTCTTCCATCTTTATCCCTTCCTTTGAAGGCTACATTTGCTGTGTGGGAATACCTGTTTATTCAATTTCAGTCAAAATTTCTTTCAGTGAATCAGCTGAATTAAGAGCATCATAATTTAAAGAGAAGGATTCTAAAAAAGAGGGGATTTTATAAAGCTTTCTGTGTTTCTGTTGGATCTCAGATCTTGCCTTCTTTTTTCTCCCCTTTAGTTGGGCGTGTTAGAGGAAGATTTGTTAGCCTTGAAATCTCCTTCAAAAGAAGATGTTGCAGCTGTCTTAGAAAATTACCATACAGAGGTAATCTTGTTAATACTCTTAACCTCAGGTTTTAATTCATGGGGAGAAGAAGTAATTAAAAAATTAGCAGTTGGTAAATATTATAGTTTGTAAATATAAATAAATGTACTAAGCATTTATTTACTTAAAGCATGGTAGAAGAATCAGTGCTTCACAGTTGTTATAGCCAGCAGCTAACAAGATGACTTCTTCCCTGTGCAGTTGCGTGGCTGTGTTGCCACTGCTGGTTAACTTTGGTGCATAGCCTCGTTATCATTCTTTGCAAGGGTTTTGGCATTTCTGTAATAGGTGTTCAATGTTAACACTATTTGTGGAGCTGTAAACTCTTGACATTTATTTCTATTTAATAAAGTATAATGCAGCATTTATTTTTGATTCCTTACATTGTCTGACTTAAATTTTCAGGTAAGAGCTGATAATATTTAAAAACACTACATGGTTTCTAGATAAACATGATTGCATACATGTTGCCTCCTAAAACACCATTCAAAATTATAATAAATGAATAAAAAGGCATAAACTCACAAAGACAAGTAGAACAGAAGAGGAGACAGTGGCAGACGTGAGATGTTAGTATTTTGGAAGCTTGAAATCAGAAGGATGAGTGCTGCTAACTTAAACCAAAGAACTCTGAAAGCCAATAAGAAGTCAGCTGATTCTTGCTGTAGACCCTTATGATGGGACCAGGTCCCTCTGAAGACTCTTCTAATGGGACCACATCCCTCTGAAGACTAGAATATAGAATGGAGCAGAAGAGAAGGAAGATTTCTTGTAAGTTTAAAAAAATAAGTTATACTTTTTTTTTTTTTTTTTTGAGACAGAGTCTCGCTCTGTCATCCAGGCTGGAGTGCAGTGGCATGATCTTGGCTCACTGCAACCTCCACCTCCCAGGTTCAAGCGATGGTGCCTCAGCCTCCTGAGTAGCTGGGCTTACAGGGATGCACCATCATGACTGGCTAATTTTTGTGTTTTAGTAGAGACAGGGTTTTACCGTGTTGGCCAGGCTGGTATCTAACTTCTGACCTCAAATGATCTGCCCTCCTTGGCTTTACATAGTGCTGGGATTGCAGGCGTGAGCACTGTGCCCAGCCCCTCCACAAATCTTCTTGTACGACTAAGAGTAGCTGTCTTCCAATAACCTGGCAGAAGAGTATAGACTGACTCCTTAGAGAAACCAGATCAGGCAAGTCTAGCTGAGGGTAGAGATAAGCGAAGTACTGTACTGAAAAGAGATGAGATATAAGTAAATTGGAAGACCTCTGTTGCTTTTTCTTAGTTGACTTGCAAAATGGCTACATCCCATTCCACTGCTAAGCAATACATTGGAAGAAAAAAACCCCATAGACATTGACATGTCTTAATAACACATCTGACTGATCATCTTATAATGTATCATATAGTTGAGAATCCTGTAACTACAATTGACATTAGACACAAAGCTTCCTAATTTTAGTGCTTTGCATAGAAAAACAAATTTCCGAGGCCAAAACAAACAACAAAGGCACTGGAAGGAAGCAGACAATGCAAGAAGAAAGAAACTTGAAAAACCAAACACCAATTTATAACTATCATCTTGAGATAAGAGGAAAATATTTTACCTATGAAACAACAATGGATACTCTAAAGGTAATTCAAAGAATAATATAGGCATGCCTCAGAGGTAATCTGAGTTTGGTTCCAGACCATGGCAATAAAGCTAGTCACATGGATGTTTTTGTTTTCCAGTGCTCATAAAAGTTTTTACACTATACTGTAGTCTATTAAGTGTGCAAGAACATCATGTCTAAACACAAGTACATATCTTATTTATAATTATTAAATAATTAAATTGGCTAAAAATACTAATGATCATCTGAATTTCAGTTAGTCATAATCGTTTTACTAGTGAAGGGTCTCGCCTAGATGTTGATGGCTACTGGCTGATCTTGGTAGTGGTTATGCCTGTAAAATTTTAAAAATGATAACAAAATGGGGAGTAAAAAACCCACAACAGATTAAAATCTATGGTTGAGGAAAACTAACAGAAAAGGATAATGAAACAGAAAAAGGAGAGAATGGAAAATGAGAGATGTTATTGTAGGAGGTCTAAAATCTAATTAGGAATTCATAATAGGTAGAGGGAAGGAAATATTTAGAGAAATAGTACTGAAAACATTACCCAGAACTGGAGCACATAAGTACAAATTGGCAGGGCCACTGAGTACTTGGTACACAGAATATGAATATGGAGCACATGAGGATTTCACTTGTTTTATCAGAGCATTTGATAGTCTCCTGTTGTTGAATTGAATAAATATGGGATGAATTATGGTTTGTGGGGGTTTAAAGGCCTTATCAAAGGTTCTACTAAATGTATAGGTGTTAGACTGTAGGGAAGTCATCTAAGACTTACTCAGTACTTTTCTCAAGTGATTTGGAGACCACTGATAGCATTTTGATCAAGTTGATTTAGAACTAAGAAAAATAAGGAAAAAGAATATGGATGAAAAAAAAACTCTTAGAGTTTAGAGTGATCTGGTCAATAGTAACAATGTGAAATTTAATAAAGATAAGTGCAAATCTTGTGTTTTAACCCAAAGTACTAAATTCAAAAGTGCAGAATAGGAGAAACACAGCCTACAATGGCACAGTTTTAAAAAACAGAAAAGTCTTATTTAATTGGAACTTGGTGTGAATCAGCTGTAATCATAGGCCTGTCTCAACACTAACTCAGAGTTAGTCCAGTTAAGAAAAGTATATCCAAAGTAATCAAGGTCATGCAGAGCCCTCTTGTACTTTGCTACGAGCCAGCCACATCAGCAGCTAAGATACGTGCCCCATAGTTGAAGAATGACTTTGGAAAATTGGAACTTGTCCATAAGAAGGACCCGGATCATGAGGGGACGCAAAACTGCGTCATGTGGGAAATGGTTAAGGTGAAAGAAATTAACTACAACTATAAACATGCTAGAATTGGTTTTTGTTCCAGAATTAAAACAACAGAAACCTAATTATTCAGTTCCAGCATTTGCGAGCTCTTCCTTGAGGTGCTATTTTCTCTCTCTGAAGGTCAGAGCTGCAGAGATACCAGGCATGTGGTGGGAATTTCTCGCTAGTATGAAAATTTGGGCAGGTTGATCTTTCAGGTCCCTTAGAATCCTTAACTTCACAGATACATTTTAATGATAATATGTCAAATGTATTAGTGATTACAAATACTTATACATCTAAATAAAAATATTAGAACATTTATGCCATTGTTGATTTTAAGAGCTAGAGTTCTGTTTGCTGTCTGAATTTTGATCATACAGTGGTAGTTATTTATGAGACTGTTAGATGTAATCTGACTGAAAGGAATAAGTGACAATCTTTCACAAAGTGTATCATTAAATATGAATTTTTAAGGATTAAAATATTGTGTTCAAATTTATTAAAAGATTTTTCTTTTCAAACAGTGTAAGATTGATCGAGACAAGTCTTTTATACTTGAGGAACACTTGGACAAAATTAACAGGTACTTAAAAATCTCAGTTATATATTCCTTTGGAAAGACTATATTAAAATGAACTTGCTAACATTATAATTACATTAGAATTAACCTGTGTTTGATAGTGCACTGAATTCTGAGATAGCATAGAGCTTTCTTTTTTTTTTTTTTTTTTTTTTGAGACAGTCTTGCTCTGTCCCCCAGGCTGGAATGCAGTGGCGAGATCTCAGCTCACTGCAACCTTTGAGGTCCCCCACTCCCTACCCCAGGTGTAAGCAGCTCTCCTGCCTCAGCCTCCTGAGTAGCTGGGACTACAGGTGCCTACCATCATACCTGGCTAACATTTGTATTTTTAGTAGAGACAGGGTTTGGCCATGTTGGCCAGGCTAGTCTCCAACTCATGACCTCAGGTGATCCACCCACCTTGGCCTCCCAAAATGTTGGGATTATGGGCGTGAGTCACCATGCCCTGCCAGCATAGGGCACTTTTTCACTTACCTTTGAAAGTAGATTCTTTTTACCGGGTGAAATTCATTATATTTAGTAATCTACCATGAGAATTCATCTTAGTACAGAATATTTTTTTTTAAGTGGTGAAGAGCAGCTAGAAAATAATAATTGAATTAACTTTATCTTTGTAAATTTATCTTCTCTGAAGATCTTACCAAGCTGACCAGCAAAAAGATTTTGTGCAGTGATTCAAATTCATGTTAGTGCAAAATAACTGTTTTCTTAAGTGGGGAAGAGAAGCTAGAAAATAATTGAATTAACTTTTATCTTTTTAAATTTATCTTCTCTGAAGGTCTTATCAAGCTGATCGGCAAAAAAGATTTTGTGCAATGATTTAAGAGATTGACAGACTGGCTTTGGGAAACAGGAAGAAAAGTATTACAAAATAAGACAACCATCTCTACTATTTAGAAGCATCTACTTTTTGTAGTTGAATTATTTCTTTACATAGAAATATAATAGATGCAAAAATGCAAATGAAAAAATAAAATGTAGGTTTTATTTTGTATTAGTGAAGGTAGGCTACAAATGCTTACCCAGGGAAGCAATGCTCTGATTCTTTTTACGTCCTGTTAAAGAGATTAGACAATTCTTAATTATTGAAATGGGAGAGGGGGGAAGCCTACGTTCAGATTCATCAGTATGTTAGAAACAGGAAATCACTTGCACACTGGTGAAATCACATTTCCTTTTTTATAGTTGTTTTTCAGCCAATACTATGGAACAGATTATTGAAAACTTACAACAAGATGGTTCATCTTTTGCCCTAGAGCAGTTGAAGGTAATACTGGGATCCTTTCTGCCTTGACTGAACATGGTGAAGTCCAGTGACAGGGAAGCCTCTCTAACGGGTATTAGTGCTCCATTGGTGACGACATAACCCATGCATTGTGTTTTCTTTTTCCCAAATTTAGGTGAGCTTCAGAAATCTGTTCCACTAACCTTGACCTAAATTCAAGTGCTGTTTCTACCTGCTGGTTGTTGTGGGCAAAGCTAAGCTAGTTTTATGTCCTTTGAATGTAACAGAAGACTTTTGTAAGCATACTTCATTTCCAAATAATCCTCCTTGTCCTGTGGAGGAGGATTTTAGGGACATTTAAATTATATTAGAAGGGCTGAGTCACTGGAGAATAGTCATCTTATGATGTATTTGCAATTGTGACATTGATCTATAAATTCTATTTAATATGGTCTTTCTAAGCAGGAGGTTTAATTAAAAAGTGATCCTTTTTAAACAAGATACTCCATCTCTTGCCATAGCTGAGTCTTATGTAGTGTTTCTGTGTTTCGCGTAACTCAAACTGTTAACAGCAGAAGAGCCATTTTTGTGTAAATGTGTGCATACCAAATGTTGACATTCTTGGACCTCTAGTATGATTATGAAACTTGGAGTATTTCAGACTTCCAGACAAAGAAAAGGTATGTTTACTTATACTTAAAAGGTGTTTTAGCTTGTCTTTATCTGACAGTATTTTTCGTATATTTCATATATATATGTATGTATGTGTGTGTGTGTGTATATATATATTTAGGCTCCACATCATGATTCCATAATATTTTTCTATTTCTAGATGTAATCATAACATTTCAGTTGTCAGGAAACATTGAGAAAAAATTTTAATAGTCTTACCTGTAAAGGTGAAAACATTCCCTCCATTTTCACTGTATTTTGTTGTTGTTGTTGTTGTTTTGAGATAGAGTCTTGCTCTGTTGCCTAGGCTGGAGTACAATAGTGCAATCATAACTCAGTGCAGCCTCAATCTCCCAGGCTCAAGCAATCCTGAGTAGCTGGCACTACAAGCATGTGCCACCACACCTGGCTAATTTTTTGTATTTTTTTGTAGAGACAAGGTTTCACCAGTTGGCCAGGGTGGTCTGGAACTCCTGGGCTCAAGCGATCCACCCACCTCGCTTCCCAAAGTGCTGGGATTACACTGGGATTACAGGCATGAGCCACCACATCTGGCCTTTTACTATATTCTTAAGGGGGAAATCCAAAGTTAATTTGTCCCATGGGATCTTCTTCAGTATTAGAATTTCATTATCTTTCAAGGATAGGCATAAATTAGAGCAGGTAGACCTGCCATTTATTTCCCTAACTCACAAAAGTAGACTGTTATTATTAATAACTTCTAGGAATGTTTATGTAGATAATCATTTTGTATTTCAAGGAATCTGACTTTAAGTTGGTGTATTAGTCAGGGTTGTCTAGAGGGAAAGAACTAATAGGATATATATATATATATATATGGGGAGTTTATTCACTATTAACTTATGTGATCACAAGGTCCCACAGTAGGCTGTCTGCAAGCTTAAGAGCAAGGAGAACCAGTTTGAGTCTCAAAACTGAAGAACTTGGAGTCTGATGTTAGAGGGCAGGAAGCATCCAGCATGAGAGAAAGATGTAGGCTGGAGGCTTGGCCAGTCTCTCCTTTTCATGTTTTTCTGTCTGCTTTATACTCGCTGGCAGCTGATTAGATTGTGCTCACCAGATGAAGGGTGGATCTGCTTTCCCTAGCCCACTGACTCAAATGTTTAATTTCTTCTGGCTGCACCTTCACAGAGACACCCAGAATCAATACTTTGTATCCTTCAATCCATTGAAGTTGACACTCAGTAATCACCATCACAGGTCCACCCCTGGTCAACTTGAACCCATACATATCTCCTGAGATCATATATAATCTTCAAATAAAGACAATAATGTCATAATTATGCCTGACAAAATACAGCTATTTTTCTTACAACCAGAAATGCACCAGTTCCCCACCCAAATACTATTACATAAAGTTAACAGTACTTACATGCTGATATGAAGTCAATAAATCTTATGTTATGTAACGGAAAAGGAAATAAAGATACTTGCTTAGTATAAGTATATGCATGCACAAATGTGTTTTTAGCAAAAGATGGAGGAAATACTCATGATAATTAAAACCTCCATTTCTGCAGCTGGTCACATGGTTGTAGCTGGTACTGATGATTTCTCTACTACCCATTCTGTGTTCCCTTTGCCTTCAGCAAGTACCTCAGCAGATTGTGGGTTTTTTCCTGGTGGAGTGACCCAAACCTTTCATTCCTGAGGGGTCTGGGTCATTTGTAGTCCTGCCTGGATTGGGCTGTTGTAGTTTCCCATTGACCGTAATCACAGGGCATGGTAATACTAAGAGACACCCTAATCGATCTCCTCTATTCCATGCATATTCTTCCTTACCTCTGTTGTGGAGTAAAAGACTGATTTCATCTTGATAGTGTCAGCCAGTCACCCCAGCCAAAACTGTAACTCCTTTCTTAGCCTGTTGACTTAAAGGTAGGAGGAGCCCAAAGTGTCCAGGTGCCAGTCTTCCAGTTTAATGGAATCGTTGTTGTGTCTCCTGATGGCAGCATTCCCCCCTCTGGAACTAAGACCTCTAGGCCAGCAGAATGTAACGTCACAGGAACAGGAAGCAGAAATTTTGCTAGTGGATCAGTAGGGGTGATGGTAAGTGGTGCCACTTCCACTTCTACCCTTGATTCCTGGACCCATGAATTCTGGCTATGGGAGAAACAGTGCCATATATTGGACACTGTATACTCAGAACATACACAGCCTTCTGGAGAACTTTGCCCCAGCCCTGCAAAATATTGTCACCTAGTTGACGTAATTGGGACTTCAAAAGGCATTCCATCATTTGTCAGTCCAGCTGCTTCACGATGGTAGGGAACATAGACCAGTGAATTCCATGAGCATGAGCCCAGTGCTGCACTTCTTTAGCCATAAAGTGAGTGCCTTGGTCAGAGGCAATGCAGTGTGGAACACCATGACAGTGGATGAGGCATTCCATGAGTCTGTGGATGGCAGTCTTGGCAGAAGCGTTACATGCAGGGTAAGCAAACCCATATCTGGAGTAAGTGTCTGTTCCAGTGAGGGCAAACCTCTGCCCTTTCCATGATGGAAGAGGTTCACTGTAATCAACCTGCCACCAAGTAGCTGGCTGATCACCCCGAGGAATGGTGCCATATCGAGGGCTCAGTGTTGGTCTCTGCTGCTGGAAGATTGGGCACTCAGTAGTGGCTGTAGCCAGGTCAGTCTTGGTGAGTGGAAGTTCATATTGCTCAGCCCTTACATAACCTCCATCCCTACCACCATGGCCACTTTGTTCATGGGCCCATTGGGTGATGACAGGGTTGGCTGGGGAAAGCGACTGATTGGTGTCCACAGAACAGGTCATCCTACCCACTTGATTATTAAACTCTGCTGAGGTCATCCCTTGGTGAGCACTCACATGAGATACAAATATCTTCATGGTTTTTGACCACTCAAGAGAGGGCCATCTGCATACCTCTTCCCCAAATTTATTTGTCACCAATTTTCCATTCATGTTTCTTCCAAGTCCCTGGCCATCCAGCCAAACCATTGGCTACAGCCCATGAATCAGTATATAATCACACATCTGGCCATTTTTCCTTCCATGCAAAGTGTACAACCAGGTGCACTGCTCAAGGTTCTGTCCTCTATGAAGATATCCCTTTACTACTGTCCTTCAGGGATGTTCTAGAAAGGGGCTGTCATGCTGCAACTGTTCACTTTTGGGTGATGCTTGCATATTGTGCAGACCCTTTGTGAGCCATGTCCTAGTCTTCTGTTCCTCTGTCAACTGATCATAGGGAACTCCCCATAAGGCCACCAGTGCCAGCTGGGAGACAGAAGTCAGGGTGGCAGGAGAGGAGACCATGGGCATTTGAGCTACTTCTTCATGTAATTTACTTGTACCTTCAGGACCTGCTCAAACCCGATCACGTATATACCACTGCCATTTGATAATGAAATGCTGCTGTGTACAACCCACGTTATGGCTAGATGGGTCAAAAAGCACTCAGTTCTTGATAGGCAGTTCAAGTAGTATCTTGACAGGGCCCACACCACTGGACCCTTAGAAATTTTACTGAGATAGTAGGTCCCTGAATTTTAGTCGGATTTATTTCCCATCCTCTGGCACACAGATATCTCACCAGTAAGTCCCGTGTATTTTCTGCTCGCTGGATCCAGTCAGCATAATGTCATCAATGTAATGGACCGGTGTGGTATCTTGCAGAAGTGAAAAGTGATCAGGGTCTCTCCAAATAAGGTTATGACACAAGTAGAGAGAGTATATATATCCCTGAGGTATAACAGTAAAGGTGTGTTGCTGGCCTTGCCAGCTGAAGACAAATTGCTTCTGGTGGGCTTTATGGACAGGAATGGAGAAAAAGGCATTTGCCAAGTCAGTGGCTGCATACCAGGTAACAGGAAATGTGTTAATTTGCTGAAACAATGAAACCACATCTGGTAAAGTAGCTGAAATTGGAGTTACCACCTGGTTAAGCTTATGACAATCCACTTTCATTCTCCAAGATCCAGCTGTCTTCTGCACAGGCCAAATGGGAGCGTTGAAAGGGGATGTGGTGGGAATCACTGCCCCTGCATCTTTCAAGTCCTTGATCATAGGACTAATCTCCACAATCCCTCCAGGAGTACAATATTGTTTTTGATTTACTATTTTACTAGGTAGAGGCAGCTCTAATGGCTTCTGTTTGGCCTTTCCCACCGTAATAGCCCTTACCCTACCAGGCAGGGAGCCAATCGGAGTGGTGGGGGAGGTTCTGCCAGCTGCTAAGTATGTTCATGCCAATTATGCATTCTGGCACTGGGGAAATAACCACAAGATGAGTCCAGCGATCTACTGGACCTACTCTAAGTCAGACCTGAGCAACAACTTTATTAATTACTTGACCACCATAAGCCCCTACTTTAACTGGAAG